TCTTCTGTCTTTGCAATGACCGTTTGCACTCTTCCTGGATGATACCCTTGATATCCTCCCACAACTCATCTGGCCTTCGCTCATTAGTGTTCAAAGCCTCAAACCTATTCCTGAGATGGTTCTGAAATTCAGGTGGGATAGACTCAAAGTCATGTTTTGGTTGCCTCGGATGATTGGTTTTTCTCGTCATGAAATTAGTGAGAGTTGTCTGCATGGTCCTTTTTTATTTTTTCCTTTCTTATATTTCACGGTAATATTTCCCTGCTTATTGAGTCTACCATTGACTGCAAAGCAGTCAGTAGATCGGCCCACGTTTTCAGGCAACTGAAAACATGATTTAATTTAGAAAACGAAATCTATATAGTAGTGTTCTGAATAGTAAATCATAATATTGACCACTTACGAGTAAACATCTGAGAATGATAACATCAGCAAATTATGTGCTGCAGCATTATATTAGTAAATATTACAAATCTAAGATGTACTGAAAGGATCATTGCAAGTGCAGTTTGCTGTAACTTGACTGTCATACATTGGGGATCATTAGGAGGAGGGTCTATTCCTTGGAAAGGGAAGTCATCTTTGGAAAGGTCAGCAAGAGTGAGGATGACCTTCAACTAGACGGATTGACACAGTGAGTGCACACAGTGAGGGCTCAAGTCAGAGAATGGGAGGATGGCACAGGATAGGACAGGGGTCATATCTGTTATTCATAGGGTCGCTATGAATCGTACTCAGCTTGACAGCACATAACAACAGCAGCAACTCATACTTAATTCTGAGCCTTTGACATCTGCTTTGTATCTCACTTTCTCTACCTGAAACGATAAATATTCTCAGTAGATATGTGGAATAATTGATAACATTTGCCTTGCACTTTTATGCATGATACTTTTATGTAAACTTTGTGGTGGGAGTACATATTTAAGTCCAAAATGATGATGAGGAAATGGGCTGAGAAAGGGTGCACAAGTCATAAGTGGTAGAACTCGAGCCAGAATAAAAGTCTTCCCAGCCCAAATTATGAACTTCAGTTAAAATGTAATTGTGAGGCTTTACGAGACTTAATCCAATGGTCTCTCATCTTGTTTTTCTCATAAATGCTTCCCAGTGTTTTGAGGGTATCAGTGTAACCATACTGGGTTTGAATTTCTACTGTCATTATCATCTTAGAGTTGCCATTTACCCTCCAATTTGAGCCTCCAGTTTTCTTTATCTGTAAAATAAGGATAATGTTACTTGCTTTGCAATAGTAATTTCAATAACTACAGTAGCTAACAATTTATTGAGTCTTATTTTGTCCTAGGCATATTTCTGAGCTCCTTCTAAAGATTTTGTTAATTCCTCTGGTAAATCTATATGGTAAATTTTATCATCCCTTTTAAAACAAACAAACAAACAAACAAACAAACAAACCCCAAAACATCAAAACAAACATGGTAAAATGGATACAGAGTGACTGAGTCATATGTTCAAGGTCACATAGGCAATAACTGCTAGCTAGTCTGAATGAGGAGCCTGCATTTTTAACTGCTGTGTTGTCTCCATAGCTACCTTTTTAGGGTCGTGTGAGGATCAAAGATATTATATATAAAGCTCCTTGCTCAGAGCTTGGCATTTAATAGGCATTCAGTAAATGGCAGATTTCGTTGTTTGTTGTCTCAGAATATTGGGAGTTAATTTTCTCAGCTCCCATTGAGACCGACAGGCAAAATTCTAACAAAGACAGTGGTGGAGGAGGCTCTTTGAAGGGAATGGAAAAGACAGGGAGGAGACAAACATTTGTTGCTTAATAGATTTTTGACAGAGGCTCAGAGCAACGTCTGGTGGGGCAGTGGCTATCCTTGTTTTATAGACTGGGAAGCTTGTGAGCAGAGAGTTAAGTGACCTCCCTGTTACGATGTGGGAAATAAATGAAACAGTTGGGTTTCGAACCCACTTTAGTTTGACTCTTATTCTTGTTGTCTAATCAGAGCCAGGTAGCTTTAGTGTTGGAGATTCTCTTCTACTCCCAGGTCACTTCTGTGAGCATCAAGGCCTTTTCTCCCTAACACAGTCATTCTCTGCATTTCCTCATGGGCCTCTCTGAGCTCTTAGGAGCGTACAGAGACTTTTTTTACCACCTGTATCACCTTGGAGACATAGGAAATGTCCTTTAGAATTGTATAGTCATTATCTTAAGAAAATAGTGAGGGAGCAGTAGGTTGTGGGATGAATTTGTATGGAGATTTAGGTGACTCTTTGAAATTTATGTATGCTTAAGTATTGCAAGGCATTTTTTTTCTTCTTGTTCTCACTGAAGCTGTAAATATTGATCCGATTTTTTTAAAACCAGAACTAAGAGTTCTATAGCATTGAATCTTTTCCATTGGAAATGCCTATTACTCTTCAGGATATAAGAGGGAAAAATGACTGGCAAATGTATTTATTACTGATTCTCCCCATGTATAGTACAATTCAGGGAGGGGAAATATGCTGGAGAAAAAGTCATAAATATTTATATTTTAATCCAATTTCCTTTCAAAATATTCCCAATTGTATTGAAAAATTGCATCAAATGCATTTAATTTTAACTCTAGGATGTGAAAGCCGCCCAAGCAGAACTGGAAAACGCCTTTACAGGAACGGAAAAGGAGAAGACCCTTCGCCTGAGCTTGGAAAAGCAGCTTTCAGAGATGAAGAAACTGCAGGAGAGTGACATGGAGATGGCATTGGTCCTGAAGGAAAAAGACAGGTCTGGCTCTTCTTCCTGTGGTGCTCTGACATCTTACTAACCTGACTGTATGAGGAAAACCTGGCTCCTTTTTCTTCTTTTTCTCGTTGTTCCCACAAGCCTCAGTAACTTACTGGAACATATCCAGGACAGTAAGATAGAACTCAAAGGTGAAATCATAGTGGAAAAAAAGGGGTACACTTGTGACATGAGGATAGAAATTCATCCTGAAATCAGGTTCTACTCCTCCTCAGATACTAAACTGAAAATGCAATTTCGCTGGAAGCTTCCTGGTAGCCCTGGGAAAAAGGGAAACATTCTTGGTGGACATAATATTTACATGGCTCATGATTGAACAAACCAGGATAAGCATCGTTTTCATTGGCACTGCCAGAAATTTCTCTCTGGATCTTCATAAAGGGAACAGTAAGAGGCCGCATCTCTATTTTAAGTACTAGTGAATTTTGTGTGACCTCTTTCCCCCCCCACCCCAGTTGTTGAGACTGTATAAAGCAAAACGTAATACCAGTTCAACAGTTTTTACATATACAACTCAGTGACACTGATTAAATTTCTTCAAGTTGTACAACTGTTCTCACCCACGTTTTCCAAATCATCCTTCCCAGTAAGCTCACTGCCTTCTAAGATTCTTTTCTAATTCTTTGAGTTGCTGTTGACAGTTTATTCTTACATGACATACTTCCTAGCAGAGCACAGTACCCAAGGCAGACATTTTTTAACTAGTTAAGCTAAACTATTGTTTGGTTTTAAAGTGACTTCAGGATATTTTCAGTTTAAAAATTCTGTCAGGCCATTAGCTGAAGGGGTTCATCCAGCACCCATGGCTCAGGAAATAGAAATTCTTTTCTAAATCCTTCACCTCCTTTTCCCCCCATATAGAATTATTAGAAAAATGGATGGTAGCTGGCACCACCCATTTGTGCTCTTGTGACAAAAAAGATAGTTATTCACGGAGGTGTTTAACAGCACTTTTCATATCTCCTTCCTGTGTCTGTCTCTCCTCCCTCTGCCGCTCCAGGAAAGTAGAGACCAGTTAGGTGTGCCTTGGATGGCTGCTTTAGAGCTTTGGGGAAGCCAGGCAGTATGCAGTGATCTTGGAGTTAGAACAGAAGCACTAAGCATTATTCAGCCTGTCAACTGACTCGCCTCATGAAACCATGACCCTGAATCTCCAGACCAGGAAACAAAATCTCATGAGATTTGTGGCTGTTCACAAGCCGACTCAGTAGGTTCTTTTGTGACTGGTGTAGATAAATCTAACCCACAACTTTTACCAGTTCAATTTTTTATAGATGTACAGCTTACAGCAATTTAAACAATCCTCTATGCAACCTTATCGTCAATCACTTAGATTTATCAGTCACCTCTACTGCTCTACCCATCTCTTCCCACAGCCTGCCTCTGATAACCACTAATAAACTTTAGTCTGTATGAATTTTCCTTTTCTTGTATTTTCTTCTAAGTAACATGTGTTTGTCCTTCTGTAATGGACTTACTGTACTCAGCATAGTATCTTCATCTTGTTCATATTGAATCATGACTTTGTTTCTGTTACTGACTGAGTAGCAATTCTATTTAAAATAAAAATGGCCCTCCTTGTCCACTGGTTCTAAATCTGTGGATTCAGCCAGGAAAGGATCGAAAATGTGTCTTGGCTGTTCAGATCACTAGGGAATCCTCAGGAAGAAGAAGAAGAAGAAGGGCAGTCTCTTCCTGTTAAGCTTTACAGCCTTGGAAACGTGGTGAGGTTCACTATGAGTCAGAATTAACTTAATGACAGTAAGTAAATGAGTGAGTCATTAGGAAGTGATTGACAGTATAAGGAGAATGTGCAAAGATAATGTGCACATATGCCAGTTTGTATAAGGGCTTCGAGCATCTGTGGCCGTTATATCCCTTGTTCCATGCTCTCTGCTTGAATTTCTGGTAGTTCACTGTTGATATAATGCTCTGTTTTTGAATTATCTTCAATAGAATTTACTTTCAGATGTTGCTATTGTTGTTAGGTGCTATCAAATTGACTTGGATTCCGAGCAACCCTTGAACAACAGATCTGAACCTTGCCTTCTCTCATGTGTCCCATTTCCAGCCTGAATTATAATCTCTTAACTATCCTAATAAACTCTCACATTGTAGTGTGAGCAGAGTTCTTTGTGGTCATTGCAGTGGGTTAGTGGACACAAATGTGACAGTCACTGGGGCAGTTCATCTTGTTGGGGGTTTTCCTCTCTTTCTCTGACCTTTCCCAGCAAGATGTTATTTGTCAAGACCTAGCTCCCCCTGACAACATGCACCAAGTGGGAGACGAAGTGTCCTCATCCTTGCCTTTAGGCAGCACCCTTAAAGAGGCATCAGGCTGCACTTTCTCCAAGGCAGACTTGTTTGTCCTTTTGACAGTCCATTAAATAATTTAATTCTCTTCTCCAGCCCATGATGGACAGGTTTCAGAGGAGCTTCTAGACCAAGACATAAGAAGTAGGATTGGCCATCTGCTTCTGAAATAGCAGGCCTTTGAAAGCTCTATGAATAATCTGTGATATTTTTTGATAATGTCTGCATTCTGTTAGGTCACCTTTCACTGGAATAGATATATACCTCTTTCAGTTGATTGGCCAGTTCTTTCAGTTTGACAAATGTTGAATGTGTTCTTCTGGTTTTCTATTCTTACTCCAAGTCTTTGCACATTTGATTATATGCTTCACTTGGTCTTCTCCACCTGCCCTTTGAAGTCGGTTCAGCACTCTTTTATTTCCTTATCATGATTTCTTTTACTTTAGCTACTTTACAGTCTGGATCAAACAAAAGAGTCTCTTCTAACGTCCTTTTTGATCACTCTTTCCTCTCTAGTGACCGTTTTTGTGCTATAGTAGGTTTATTACTCAAAATAGTTTTCCTAGCTCATTGGCTTTGACGTTTGCCATGTGACTGACTGGGTGGGACTGTGTTAATGATTGAATGAGAGGAGTGGGAACATGGAAAATAAGATGTGTAGACTGTTAACGAGGAAATTGGTCAGTCTTGCCAGGTTTAAAGTGGGCAGATGTAGAGGCAGAAGATGGGAATCTTAGTACCAGTCAGAGAGGAATAGAGAGTCTATTTGGATCAGAGATTCCTGTGCAGCTCAAAGTGGGGGCTAGATGAGAGGAGTACATGAGACTGACACTGGGGACTGAGTGACAGAGCCACTTCATGGAGTTGGAGCTGAGGGCTATTGCCCAAGCTTAGTGATTCAGGAAGAGGAGTTGTAATTAGCAGGACTAAAAGAGCTTTTAATACTGGCCTAAAGCCTTGAAGTTGAAGGTCAGAGGGTCTGTGGGTGTACCTGAAAGACTGTCCTGGCTGAAGAATTAATTATATGCTATTTCTAACCTGAATTATAACATATTAACTTCCCTAATAAGCTCCCATATTGTAAATATGATTTGAGTTCTATGTGGTCATTGCAGGGGATTAGTGAATAGTAGAAGAGCAGGGAGAGCCTTGGGAGAGATGCTTGTTGATTGAAGTGGGTTCAGGGAGTGTGGGGGCATATCTGACCTCATGGGGATCTGTTTTGTGTCATGGATGAGAATGACTCTCCGTTATGGAGTTAGAGGAGGATAGACTCAACCTCCATTTTTGAACAACTTTCTTCATATATAGTGTCCATAGCACTTTTATAGACTGGTAGTCACACCATGGGGTGAGATTGAGATTGTCGGTGACTTCAGTTTACTTGGATCCACAATCAATACATTTGGTACCAGCAGCCAGGAGATCAAGTGATACTTCAGTAGGGAAGTCTGTGGTCAAGGCCCTCTCAGAATTACTAAGGAGCAATGATGTCAGTTTGAGGACTAAGTTTTGACTGATTAAAGCCACAGTCTTCTCAGTTGCTAGCTATGCCTCTGAAAGCTGAGAAGTGACTAAGTATGACAGAAGAATTGATGCTTTTGACCCTGATGTTGGAGTGCTAAATATCCCATGGACTGCCAAATAACAAACAGATATGTCTTTGAGAAAGTGCAGTAAGAAAGCTCCTTGTAGGCAAAGATAACAAAACTTTGTCTCGTATACTTTGGGCACATTGTTAGGAGAGGTTATTCCTTGGAGAGAGACATCGTGATTGGGAAGGTGGAGAGGTGGTGAAGAAGAGGAAAAATCCTCAGTCAGAGAAATTGACAGAGTGACTCCAGCAATGGGTTTGAGAGTGCCAAATATGATGAGGGTGACTCAAGATAGGACAGGGTTTAGATCTGTTGTTTATAAAGTAGCTATAAGTTAGTTATACTTGACTCAGTGGCACCTAACAACAACAATAACAACAACAGCAGCAGCAGCAACATACTCTTAGGGAAGTTGAAATGATAAAGAAGGTTGTTGTTGTTGTTGTTGTTATGTGTCGTCGAGTCGCTTGCAACTCATAGCGACTCTATGTACAACAGCCTAAACCCTGCTCTGTCCTGTGCCAGTCGCACTGCCTCTGACACACCCATCCCGATTACCCCAGTCACTGAATCAATCCATCTCATAGAGGGTCTTCCCCTCTTGCACCATCCCTCCACCCTCCCAAGCATGATGTCTCTCTCCATGGACCTGTCCCTCCTTACAACATGTCCAAAGTATGTCAGATGAAGCCCCAGAATCCTTGCCTCCAAGGAGCCACCCGGTTTAACCCTTTCCAGGATGAATCTGTTTGTTTTCTTGGCAGTTCATGGCACATTCAATACTCTTCCAGCACCACAGCTCAAAGACATCAGTTCTCCTTCTATCCTCCCTAGTCATTGTCCAACTCTCTGACGTATAGCAAGTGATTGCAAAGACCATAGCCTATAACAGATGCACCTTAGTCTCCAGAGTGACACCATTGCTCTTCAGTACCCTGGAGAAGTTCCTAACAGCTGACTTACCCATTGCAATACGTTTTTTGATTTCCTGGCTAGTGGTGCCAAGAATGTTAACTGTGGAGCTAAGCAGACTAAAGTTGTTAACAATCTCAGTTTCTTCACCATCCCTCCTGA